ATACACCCTCCTGGTAAAAAGAGCCACGCAGAAGTGTCTTCATCCAACACCAGCGTCTTGGGAGAGAAGATCTGCCTGGTCACACGAATCTGGCAGCTGTGTTTGTGAGGAGACAAAGTGGATGGCTGCGGGGTGAAACTGTGCCACGCTGCGGCTCGGGATTAGAGCTGTGATGGCCCGTGGTTGTCCAACAAGAGCCAAGCGGGGGTATCGATGACATGGGATCACAGTCACTGCAAACTCTGCGTCAAAGTTTAGTGGAGGAAAAAAAAAGAAAGAAAGAAAGAAGAAACCCAGTCATTGCTGTGTTGTTACTGTGACTTTTTCTGTTTGACAACATGCAGCTTTTTAACGGATTTCTTTTCCAGCTAATTAATGGCCATATTATTGTATTGAGGAGTCTAAATAAACAGTGCTTCATCTGTTCCTGAGCCTCCAGGTGCACAGCAACTTTGAGATCCTGGAAAAACCTTGACTTTTGACATGTGCTTAAAAGTGCATGAATTTTACTTTTTTTTGTTTGTGTTTTTATTCCAGCAGATAAAAACAGTACGGTCTGATCTGCATGGTTAAAAAAAACAACTAAGAAATCGAGTGAGAAAGAAACAAAATGTGAAAGAAAAAAAGAGTCTTTCTTCCGACCTATTTATACATTTTCATCTTTCACTCTGACTACATTAGTCTCACCTCCTCCAACACTTCTCCCCTCTTCCTGCTGCACCTTCCTCATTTTTCATGTTTGTCTTTTACCCTGCTAACAGCAGCAGTTCTCATCACTCACCTCTCCACCCCCCCCTCCTCCCCCAACAGCAGCATCTACATGTCTACAGTCTCCCTCTCTGTTCCTCAGTTTCCCCCTCCTCGACTCCCTCCTCTCCCGTGCTTCACCCGGGGTTTCTTCTTCCATCTCTTCTCCCTGGCGTGTCGTGTTTGTAGCCAGTCTGGCGGCAGCTGGATCAGCAGGCAGACGCACACCCAGTCCTGATTGAGGGAGGAGGAGAGGGGGCGACAATGGGGGATACGGGAGGGCAGGGTGGCTGTGAAAATGATGAAGCCGTCAGGACAGAAGGGGTTGGTACTTTTTTTTTTCTCCCCGTTGGCATGGCCTTAATCCTGGCAGAAATGGAGATGGATGTGTTGGCTCTGTGAGGTGGGGTCGTGCTGCTCCCAAAAATCCCCCCGACCTAAATCATCCTGCACATTGTCCTTTTTTTGTCCATTTGTCACACTGTCATACTTGAAGGCACCAGCAGGGACAGGCAGCAGGAGTCTGTGGTGAACTTGAACAGCCAGCAGCAGCAGGCCCCAGAGCAGGACGGTGTTGTGGGGGAGGTGTCACTGAAGCTCAGGAGGCTACGTTGAAAAAAGTAGCGCCTGATTTGCTGACTCGGCACCGTGGCAACAGCTGTTCCTCCCTTCAGGCTACACCTGTTCTGGATGAAGGACAGGAGGAGGAGCAAAAAAAAAAAAAAACTATCAGTTTCGATTGGGAAATATGACTTTTACCTCATGAAGGATCTGAGGTATGTGACAGGGTGTCGGAGTATTGTTGGATTTCTCCTCTAGGATTAGTGAAAAACAGCGCTCATTAGGTTTTGCCACCGCTGTGGTATTTTACACCCTGCCTGACACATCTGGACTTGAGATTTGAGGACAAGGTGGTTTCAAACCCACAGCCTTGTGGCTACTGCAGGAGTCCTACCACTGAATGCACCACGCTAGTTCTATTTCCCCTACAGTCTGTGGTAAAACTGGCATGGTATAAAAGTGTTCGATTCCAAGAGGAACTACATATCCCTAGTGGCGCCTCCTGTGGCAGCCTGTGTTGGTTGCACACTGTAAATTTCCCATTATGGGACTAATGAGTGGCTGAATTTGTATATAGATATATATATAATATATACATTTATATCAGTCAGTGGTTGTTCGTAGTCAGAACTGTTCGTAGTGCAATACATTTATATCAGTCAGTGGTTGTTCATAGTCAGATGTTTGTATTACGGGGAACTGCTGTATTTTCAAATTCACAACTTACATTTTGTCTCAGATGATAATAAAATTATAATAACAACACAGCAGAAAGTGGAGCATAAAGTAAAAAAGAAAAACATAAAAAGATCAGACACAGGAAACTAAACGTCCCATTGAACAGGCAGGAGACCACAGCAGATTCAGACTCAGTGTGAGCAGCTGTCGGCTTCAGCCAAGAGTGAAGGGGAAAATAAGGGAGACAGCAGAGGAGACAGAGGAAGTGGGGACAGGGAGTGGGAGTGGAGAGAGACCGGGGGCAGATACACAACCCCACAGTCTGACATGATGTTCAGAGGCAGACGGAACAATCACAGAAGCAACTTGTCACAAATCTGATAGAAAAAGCCATAAAAGAGTTTGACTGGACTCAGGCTTCAACATCGAACGCTTGGTGAATAAAGAAGATAAACTGTTTCAGCAGAACGGAGAGCTCTTCTTAATAATAGGCCGGGTTTAAAAAAAAACAAAACAATCAAAACAGGTTGTGCCAGAGGATTGAGGGCTGATCTTGTCTGAATCCCTGCCTAGTGCCCCGTCTCAGTCTGCGACCTCTGCCCTTGTTGTCATAACAACAAGTTTAATGACACAGCAGAACAACACCAACAGTGGACGGCAACTGGTCAATCTATAGCTGTTCTCCTCAGATGGACGCTGAACTGTAGGACCACGGGTCAAAATAACTCTTCTTCAGCACAGACTGTGACTCAGGACAGAGTTCAGTGAAATAAACCCTGCCGTATGTGAACCAGGCTTTGACATGGTAGGCCCAAACTGCGGGTGCTGCTGCTGAATCACTCTCCTGTGTTTGTTTTGGCATCAGCTGAGTTTCATTCTCCTCATGTTAGCACAATGAGCTGAGAAAATACCCCCAACAAGAGTAAAGAGCGTGAGGAAATGATTGTCATTTGAATAATTGTGCCTTTAAATAGAAGTTTGACTGTGTGAAGTCTTGACTGTTAGTCTAAACTTCCCATTCCCAGGAAGAGAAGGACAGTGAAAAGGAAAAGTAACTTGAAGCCCTGTCAGGTTTGGTCCGTGATCAGCTGATCAAACCGGATAGACCTCTCAGGTGAGTCCTCAGGTGATCAGCTGATCGCTTGCTCTCTCGTTACACAGTGTACTTAAGGCACAGCTGCTCTGACAGATGAAAGGCTGGTTGAACATTTAAAAACTAGAGATAAACTAGAATAGAAAAGAATCTCAAACACGTGGTCCACAACCACTAGGGGTCTCTGGATGTACCCCAGAGGGGTCCAGAAAAGTTTTGCTCGAGGCGACAATTTATTTTATTCTCAATACTTTGCACTAGAGATGTCCGATATTCCGATAATAATTTCCGATTCCGATATTAACCAATACGGATATAGCGTGGGAGTGGTGACCTAGTGGTTAAGGAAGTTCAGTGCCGCCTGCTCACTTTTCACTGGGTAAAAGCCACTGTATCATCAGGTTTTCATTATCGGAGGGAAAAACTGATGATGATTCTTACAGATATTACATAATTATGGTAATATCAGCTGATATTTTCAGACATCCCTACTTTGTACGTAGGTTTATTATAAACAGTACTTCATATTAACCTGTAGTAGGATTTCCATTTGTGGTGTCAAAATGGGGTCACAAGCCAAAACAATTGTTGGGACCTACTGCAGTACAGGGTGTACTGCTACAGTATCTACTGAATATTGATTTGATGTAGTAGTCATGGATGTTTTTGTTTAAAACCACAGTACAGCCGCAGAAAATGTGGCCCATTTACATGGAGCCAATGAAAATGGGTTGTAGAGCTGCAGCTGGTTCTACATCTATCAACATCTACTAACAACTGACAAACGGAACTGTTAGCCTTCCACATATTTTTAATCTTCTAAGCGACTGTAGTCGTCTTTCCACTTGTGTCCTTTAGTCTTTAAAGCCATCCTGAGTTACTGATCCTCTGTCTGTTCAAACTCCAGGTTAATGTGTCACCTGTGCTGTTGGAACTGACTGACTTGAAAAACCCCTGCAGACCTGATTACATCTTTGTCAGTGTTTAAACAGTGACGCAACACTGAGCAGGGGTCAGGGTTCAAGGATGGAGGTATGAACAGTAGGGGTCCAGAGGTTAAATCAACAACTGCTGGAGTGCTTTTTTATTTTTTAACTAAAACCTCGACTACATCAACAAAGCATTTAGACAGGTCAAGCATTTACTGTCACTCCTGAATACAACTATTTTGGACAAATGACTGGAGTCAGGTTCTGGCCTAAAATAGTTTGGAGACAACTGCAGTACCAGCGGGCCGTATCTGGTCCACGGGCCATAGTTTGCCCAGGTCTGCTTTAGGGTCTCTGTTGAGTACACTGTAAAAACTGCAGTATTGTTAAGGATCTTACTGCGATGAACTGTACTGTGATGTTTCCCGTACTTTGTTTCCCACGCCCGTGTTGGTGTTGGTGATGCACAGCAGGTTTCTCTGCTTCTCTGTGAGTTCACACACACACGCGTGCACACGTCAGTCACTGTGTTTGACATATGGATGAGGCGCTGGTGAGCTGGTGGTGGAGGTGTGTTTATGACAGTGTAGGAAAACTGAACATGTGCTGGTGGTAATTGGGAATCAAGAACAGAGATGTTCTCTCGGTGTGAAAATAACAGGATGATGTAATTACCTCAGGATGAGCGGCAGAGTGGAAGCAGGTGGAGCTGCTGCTGCTGCTGCTGCTGCTTCGTTTGCAGGTTTGGTTTCTGCAAATGTGCTTCCATTCAGTTCCTGTCCGTCTCCACTCCCTGCTCTGCCGTCAGCCTCTAACATAAACACACACACAAACCTGGGCAGGGCAGAGTGTGGGGGAGGACACACCCATCAGTGCATGCAAACACATCTTTGTCTGTGGTGTGTTTTATTTTACAATTAGTCTGGTTTCTTCAGAAAACACAAACAGAGAGTGAGAGAGAAGGAGAGTATGCCCTGAGGTGACAGTTGTTCCTCAGAACACTGTCTTGTCCACTGACGTGACAGTCAGCCTGCACTTGTTCCTCGTCTGACATGTAATGGCGGTGTGAAGATGCACAAGATTTTCTGTGAAAAAAGAGAAGAAAAAACACCCCTCCATTTTAGACACAAAGGAAAACATGGCTGAGAGTCTTTGTCAAGTGAGCTGCACTCTCTGAGTCTGGATCTGCTGCACTGATCGGTTCTGTTTTTCTACAACTGTACAGTTTTTAACATTTTTTCCTCATCTTCTTGATATAATTTGATTTATTTTCCAAAGTGACTTATCTATCAAAAATATACCAATATCAGAAATGGCCATAAGAGGGCACTGTCTACTCGCTGTCGGGAAAAAAAGGTGTATCACTTGATTAGGTTTCAGGTGTGACAGTAAAATGTTCAAATCTAACAACGCACATTATAATATATAAAATACATTTATATAATTACACATCTTTAGAACTCTCATGGGATCTTCAAACTGATCTGAGGTCAGTTCATAATCACATAAAAAGCAACGCAATCTGACAATGAACTACAGAGAGGGACACACCTCAGACCCGTGTGTGTGTGTGTGTGTGTGTGTGTGTGTGTGTAAACAGAGTCACTGCTGTGTGTGCAGCCTGCCTCCACCACCTTTTGCATACGCCTGTAGATAAACGACAGGGAGAGACAGAGAGCGAAACCCACACCTGGCTCCCAGAGCCTGAGAACTGTGTACACTATAAATATTTCCACAGTCTGACCTCACACGGAAATGAAGGAGGAAGTTGGACTTGGTACCTGGAAAAGTCAGAGACAGAGAAGAGAGACGGGGATGAGTGTACAGGTCTAACATATGTATGTGTGTAGACCACAAACACCAGTGAGTGTCAGACTGCGTTGTGGATCGATGGTCTACACCAGTCTACTCCAGTCTACGTGTACTGTACAGTGTGTGTGTGTTTCAACACCGAAAACAGTTGACGTTTTTCTGAAACAGCTTTGACGTGTAAATGCTAACAAAGCTTTTCCTTCGTTACTGAGCTAGCTCTGTCAATTGATATATTAAACCAACGAGCTAACATTTAGCCAATGCTTTGCTTCATGCTAATTGTTTTTGCTGTTTTTCATATTGATAGCCTCTATTCAGTCATTTATTCTGCTGTGTCCTGCCCCGTGTTGCTAAAAATGTAACCTAAAGCTGGATTGTCATGTACTTTTCTACTTATTTTAAGTAAATATTCTGACCAAGTTCTACTTATAGTTTGCTAACCTTTAGTTTTTTTTTTGTTTTGTTTTTTTATTTCCAAGAAAAGCCCTTTGAGTTTAACATGTGACCTTCCACTCAAAAGCAAAGTCTTTTACACACAGAACTTCATTTTCAAGATTTACAAAACAGGAAGGGAAGATTTACTAACCGACATTAATCCACTTTAACGTCTTTCCCTCAGTTCTGATCCTGGAGCCGCTGGGACGAGACAATGTTGGTGGGAAAACCTTGAAGATCACGGACTTCGGTCTGGCCAGAGAGTGGCACCAGACCACCAAGATGAGTGCAGCAGGGACGTACGCATGGATGGCCCCAGAGGTCATCAAGCTCTCCCTCTTCTCCAAGAGCAGCGATGTGTGGAGGTACAGCCGTGCTCTGTGTCCCCTTTGTTCTGGTCTATGTGGGGACAAACGTCCTCGTTGTCAAGGACATTTGTCCAGGTCGTGATGGACGCAGAGATAGAATTTGTTCTGTGGAAATGTGTTTGATTCAGCAGAACATGATTAAAATACGTACTAAATATGAGAAGGCAGACAGCCAAAGTTGGTAGAACACTTGTCCTTAAGGTGAAATCACTGGTTGCTGGTTCAATCCCCGGTCTATCTCTATGGAGTTTGCTTGTCTCTCTGTGCTATTTGTCTATTTGTTTCATTTCAACCTTCTCCCTCACATCCGTTCAGTTTCGGCGTCTTACTGTGGGAGCTGCTGACTGGTGAGGTTCCTTACAGGGAGATCGATGCACTGGCCGTGGCCTACGGCGTCGCCATGAACAAGCTCACACTTCCAATCCCTTCAACCTGCCCCGAACCTTTTGCTCAGCTGCTGGGAGGTAAGCAAGCCACCACTAGGGGGAGTGGAGTTTATTTTATTCAGTCATGTCTCTGGAAAATACTGTATTAGTCGTATGGAAAGATGCAAACTGTTTACTGGTGTCCTTTCTTTTTACTCTAACAACAACGCTGATTTGAATTCACATTTACATATATATATGTATGCAGAACCAGCTGGAGAATTTAAAAAAAGTTTCCAAGTCCTGGAAAACATGGAAAATGAATACATCCTGAACATATGTTCAGGATGTGGAAAAATTAGCTAAATACAATACAAACAAATACATACAAATAAATACAAAAAGCCCAAAGCTAACTGATAAAAGCTTACATCACTCATCTGCTTTCAGTCAATGCTGAGGCCCATTGCCAGCCAATCAGATTTGCATGTCACCACAGAGCATATATCTATATATATATATATAGTATATACACATATATATACATATATACGCACATATACACATATATACATACACATATACCTATATACACATATATATACATATATACTGTACAGTTTTGTTTTCACCTTGTACAGAAGTTTTATTGGGGGTAGTTTTAATTTTAATTTGAACATAGAACATGGGAAGTCAATTAACTGGACTTTAATCTTCACTGACCTTTGCCCAATGGTACCACCTCACCCCCCCTCCCCCCCCACTCACTCTCACCTTCATCTGTTTACTCCTGTTACAAACTCAGCCCATTCACCAGGCATGAAGAAAAAATTGATTTTACCACTCACTGATGGATAGTTGTAGCTTTGTTTCTGTCACACTGTCAGCCAGGGTTTGGCTCAGGACGGTCACCATATGCCGTACCATCCTGCTGTCTGGGAATTCTGTCGCTTTCTCCTCAGCCAGAGATGGAAAACAAGTGTTATTCAGTTATTCAGGCCATTGTTCCATCTTCTGTCCAGTCTCTTTATAACCATCTATTATAGAATCAAGTGAAATGAAACACAGATATAAGTGACATTTAAATGCATTTTTAAGGGCCTTAAAACAGCTCAGCGGTCTTTACGAAACCAACCTGATTCATGAACAGGACTAACCAATAAAAAATAAAAACATGAAAGAAAATATCAAGGTAAAAATAACTGCCACACTGAGTAGTGACCCATTTATTGAGTCCCAGCCCAACCCACAGCAGTGATGTGTGTCAACACAGTGTGGCTCTGAACACTGTAACTGAAGTTAAGGTTTTGGTTTATCATTCAGATATAGTATGTTTTATTTAATTTAGTTCAGGGATGATGCTGTTTTTTTTAGATTTACTGTGAGAAAAATACATGGTTGGTTAAACCAGTATATACTAGGCATTCAAATTATTACAGAACGTTGACGTCACCTGATCCAGGAACTACATGATTGATACTTTGGTTAAATCTGGTTTGTTGTGACGGTTGTTCCAGAGTGTTGGAGCCCCACTCCCCACAGCCGACCCTCGTTCACCAGCATCCTGAGGCGACTGCTGGCCATCGAGCAGTCGGCCATGTTTCAGATGCCTCTGGAGTCCTTTCACTCCCTACAGGAGGACTGGAGGCTGGAGATCCAGCAGATGTTTGATGAGCTGAGGGCCAAGGAGAAGGTGAGAGAGAGCAGAGAGCAGAACACAAGACCATGAACGTAGAGCGTCATCTGAACCTGTGGACACGTCTCCTGTTTGGTCTTAACTGGTCCTCAGGAGCTCAGATCTTGGGAGGAGGCACTGGCTCGAGCGGCCGAGGAGCAGAGGGAGCAGGAGGAGCAGCTGAGGAGACGAGAGCAGGAGCTGGCAGAGAGAGAGATCGACATAGTGGAGCGGGAGCTGAACATCATCATCCACCAGATGTACCAGGAGAAACCCAGTGTGAAGAAGAGGAAGGGCCACTTCAAGAAGAGCAGACTGAAGCTGGGCCGAGACAGCAACTGTATCAGTCTGCCCTCTGGTGTGTAAATAGTGGAACTGCAGTTTCTACTTAGAGGGTCTTCTATTTGTTGTTTGATCAGTGTGAACTCCAAAAAAACACACACAAAGATTTTCTAAATCTGGAAAAAAAATACTCAAGAAATTTTCTAAATCTGGAAAAAAAATACTCTGATTAAATCTAAACTGATTGTTTTTCAATAGCTTTACCAGGGATTAAGTATTTCCTGTCTCTTCCGGTCTCTTCCAGGTTTCGAACATAAAATCACAGTGCAGGCGTCCCCCAGTGTGGACAAGAGGAAGAACCAAGGAAGTGAGAGCACGACCCCTCCTGCCAGCCCGGGGGTCATACCCCGACTGAGAGCCATCAGATGTGAGTAGAATCAAAAAATAAGAAAACATTTTTGGATTGACTTCTTAATATGTGCAAACTGTTAAAATTGTACCAATAATGTACAAGGCTTGATTATAAACCCTGGAGCTAACAGTTGTACAATTAAGAAAAATGGAACAGAAAGAAAGTGAACTGTAATTTGAAATATCTCACGATTTATTTAGTCATCAGCCACATTTTCTCTGTGTGGCACTGTTTTTACATTAGACAAACCAAAGCTCTCATTTGTTCTTACTATAACAGAAGGCTTCAGTCACTACATGCTAAAAGTCAAGTATCTAACTTCACCACTAGAGGGTGCTCCATGTTACCCTGAATCCTGAAGAGGGATTTGTCAGGAGTCATTTATGGTAGATGATGTTTTGGGTTTTGTCCCATGTCTCAGTGACTCCCAGTGACGGCAGTAAGACGTGGGGACGCAGCGCCGTGTGCAAGAAGGAGGATCTGTCCACCAGCAAGAAGAAAGGACGCACCTGGGGGCCGAGCTCCACCCACCAGAGAGAGAGGGTCGGTGGGGAAGAGAAGTGAGTCGAAAATTTTATTTTGTCATTTAGTGTAAATATATTTTTTTTTAACAGCTGCTGCAGTTGTTAGTGTGTTTATTAGTGAAGTTGGCTGCATTTGGACCGTCCACAGGTCCCCACTGAGTGAGAGGGCGTTGGAGTGTTAGGATTAGAAAAAGGGTAGGATTAGAATTAGGTTTGTTTGGATTGTAATAGTCAGGTTCAGGGTTAGGAACGAGGGAATGATGTATGTTTATGTACTCACTAACCCCCCAAAACCAGTTTGTGTGTGTGACTGCAGCTCAGCGTCTGCTTAATAGACTACAGCAGGGTGAACCACAGGAACACACTGTACCTGTTAAGATGGCTTGTGATCACCAGCAGCCTCATCCTCACAGACTGAGTTTCTCACAGTATTCAGCAGCATATCTGGATGACTTTGCACAAACTTAGATATAAAATGCCCCCCTTCTGAGAATAATGCAGTACCTCTGTGTGTTTCCAGACTCAAATCCCTGGGTGAAGGGTGTAAAGTGTGGTCGTCCAGTGCACCAAATCTGGGCAAATCCCCCAAACACGCTCCGATGACTGCTGGCTTCTCCAGCCTCAATGAAATGGGTGAGCGTTTCCTTCTGCCTTCATCGTTATTGGCTGCTCCCAGACATAACTTTGGCAAACGGTCCTCCTGCCAGGTGTAATGTGACGCTGGGACCTCTGGAGAAGTGGCACCTGGAACAGACACACAGTAGTTCCAGTCAGAAAATCACTTTAGTAATGACTTTAATGAGCTGATGAAGGGGGTTATAAATATACTGTTGTCACTTCTGGGACATATTCTGGGAAACTCCACTTTGAAAGAATCCCAGTGCAACACTCTGTCATCTTAACCTTTGTTTTTTTTTTTTTTTTAATTTTATTTCTCTCAATCTCAGAGGAGTGCTCTGAGTTTGAGGAGTCGCCGGGGTCACTAATGCCCTCAGAGATCAGCAGTAACGGGGCCACAGACGACTCGGGGTCTCTGTGGAGCAGCCTGGGGCCGAGCGCGATTCCGCCGACCATGGGGATGTCCAACGTGAGCTCCTGTCAGGGCCCCGGAGGCCTGGGATCTGGAGTGAGCTACCAGGACCCGCTCCGCCGCTGTAACCAGAGGAAGAAGAGCGACATGTGGTTTCTGGGTTGCGCGTCTCTGCTGGCGTCGGTGGCCCTGGGTCAGGATCTGCTGCAGCAGGGGAAACTGCAGGTGGGACCAAAGACGGAGCAGGGGGAGAATGTGCCGCATTTGTTTTCCTTAATCTGTGACATTGTAAAGTGCCCCAGTGCTGGTGGGTGGATATTCATTTAGGAAAGTCACACTGAGCTGTGCAAAAAGGATGAATAAATTAATTAGAGTATCATAAAAACAGCTTGTAGAAACCCACGGTTTCTTATTGGCTAATAAATTAACCCAGACTTATACAGAGTGGGCTTTAATGAGCTGCTGCTCTTGGTTTGACCTCCTTTAATACACACTCTATTAATCACACTCCAGTCTCTGGTAAGATCCTGAAATAATAATAAAAAGTTATTAGTTTTCTGTACTTGACTGCAAATAAAATGTAAATGACAATAAAGGGCAGGAAAACCTAATATTAAAATTGTATTGAGTGCAGCTTTATTTTTTAAATCACATATTGTTCAAGAAACAAAGTTAGTTCAGTTGTTTTTCTTCAATGTGATTCAATGTGATTGTGTTCAAAGGATCATAGTCAGGGACAGAAGGCTGGAGGGTTTACCGCAGCAGAGACAAGGTGAAGGTCAAAGGTCAGGCTCAGAGAAGCAGCCAGGAAACAAGTGCTGAAGAGTCTGGATGGAACAATGACAGTCTGGAAAGGTGTATATATACTGGGTGGCTCCACCCAGGTGGAAGCAGTTGTGCTGATTAGGGGGCGTGGCTTCAGAGGAGCGGACTGTGCCACGACCACGGTTGGACACACTCTAGGCCTGGATCTGGTTCAGACTGGGTATAAAGTATACATCACTTTATGATCAGATCTACCATCTCAGATCAGATCTCTTTGGTATCTGTGCAGCTCTGTGTGTGGGGTTTTTTCTTCGTCTTCATCTTCATCAGTGTAACTCTTCGCTCTTCCCAGGTGCTCCAGGATGAGCAGGACCTCAGAGAGGAGCAGCGGAAGAAGAAGGAGAGTCTCTTTCAGCGGACGGGACGATTCCGCCGCAGCACCTCTCCGCCCAGCCGCAATCTTTCCCTCTCCCTGTCCAGACACCACGACTCCACCCTGCCCTGCATGGACCCGTCTCCCTCTGTCACACTCCTCTCCCTGTCCTCTCTGTCCGACTGCAACTCCACAAAGTCTCTCCTCCCCTCAGACCCCGATGATTACGCCCTCACCCCCATGACGGGCCTCAAAACCCCGGTGGCTCCTGCGGCGTCGGCGCTCAACCCACTTTTAGACCTGCGGGCGGAGAGTTTCAAGAAGGAGCCCAACCAGTCGCTGACCCCCACCCACGTGTCTGCAGCCATGGCCTTGAACAGAGGACACAGACGTACGCCGTCAGACGGGGCCATACGACCCCGGGCGCAGACCCTGGGGCACCGCAGGACGCCGTCAGACGGGAGCATGCCCATGCCCCCTCCACCGGGGGCACCGCACCTCCCAACAAACAGAGGTGCAGGAAATCAGAAGTGAAAACATGCTTTTTAAATTTAAATGATCTAAAAAATTCAAAAACATTCAGGCCACTGTTCACGCTGCAGTGACCCTTGGTGTGAACGGGAGTGTGAATGTTGGTTAATGAATGAAACTGTAGAAGATGTATAAAATCATAAATATTTCTCATACTAGTTATAAGAAATCATACACACTTAGATTGAATTCATGTATGTCAGGGATTGGTTCAGGGGCCACGTACGGCCTGATTAGATGTCAGGTGGGGCGGACCAGTACAATGTTAACATAATTACCTATAAATAACAATACGTCCCCTTTATTATAGTAGTATATTAGAAAATATTCATATTTTATTGAATATCATATGAAAAAAACATCATGAACATAACATGAAGCGGGCACATTTTGGCCCACGGGCCGTATGTTTGACACCCCTGATGTATGCTAAAAACCAACCAGGGTCTAAACTGTTAAATAAAAAGATACAACCACCCACCTCCCGTGCAGAAGGTTCTGGGCACTGGGTTCTTGAAAATGATTCTTCAAATATCAACCAAAACAAATGTGTTTTTCTGAAAAAAAAATAAAATAAAATTGATAAATCCTTTTAAAAATCTTAGGATCTTTTGTAGTCTTTTTCCATTCATATATCAGTAAATATCTGTATTTGTTTTCTGTCATTTTCCGGCCTGGGATCAATAAAGGATATTTATCAATCTATATCCATATGAAAATATATGTCGTTCATTAAATTATCTTCTACTGCTAATCTATTTTTCTGGATCGTGGGGAGGTGGGTGTCATTCCCAGCATTGACCAGGTGAGGGAGGAGCTACACAGTGGACACAGCAGTGAAAACACACATATAGTTTAATATATAATATATAGTGAATATAAAAATGTGTTAAATTGTTTCCTGACACAGTAGAAAACAGAGTGAATAACATCTTTTTCTCCTGTGACACAGGCACTCATGACATCACCGACATCCCCCGGCTCCCCAACCCCTCCACCATCTACCCAGTTCCTCACCGCCGCAAAGCCCCGGCTCCCCCCATCCCTGATCCAGATCCCCACTGCCTGGTCAGCCCCCTGGAGAGACCCAAGACTCTGGAGTTCGTCCCCCGGCCGCGGCCCACCCCGGCCAGGATGAGGGCCGACCCCTGGAAGCTGGGCTCTCTGTCTCGGACCCAGAGCTCGTCGCCGGGCAGCAGCTGCGACAGCCCACTGGGCTCAGGAGACAGCAGCGCCAGCACGGCCCGACCCAACCTGATGGACATGGACGTGGAGGGTCAGAATCTGGACCCCACTGTCCCTCTGTGTGGACAGCTGCAGCCCCCCACTGTGTGTGGGCAACAGTACTTGTAGTAAAAAAAACTGCAAAGACTACGTTAATGTTTGTAATTCTTAAGGTTTTTGCAAAAAAAAAAAAAAAAGAAATCAAACAAACAAAAACAACGCCTTCTGTTGTCTGAGCCGAGAAAAATGCACTCACAGACACCGCAAAAACAACCCTTGGTTCGGGGGACGTACAGAAAGCCATTCCCTCTACTGTTGTGTCCACTCTAACATTCAAGCCTTTTCCTGGCAGTGACCTTTGACCTCCAGGATTCTCCAGGAATCCTAGAAGCCTCTACCAGCCTTGAAATGCTCACCTACCTACTTTTCCTCCTCTGAAGCCTTTTCTACCTTCATTTTCTTTGTCTGTGTTACATTTCCTTCGACTGTTTAATGCAGAGGTGTCAAACTGATGTTGGTTCAGGGGCCTCATACAACCTAATTAGACATCAAGTGGGCCGGACCAGTACAATCATAACATAATTACCTTTAAATAACAAAAAGTCGGTCTTTTCCCCCTTTGGTTTCACCCCCAAGAAAGTACATCAGATCAATCTTTATATTTAATAAAATATAATTTCACAAACCATTTCCTGAACATGAAGTGTTTGTGTATTTTATTATTTTCAAAATGTATCAAGCGGGCCAATTTGAAACCCCAAGTGGGCCGGTTTGGGCCCACTGGCCATATGTTTGACACCCCTGTTTTAATTAAATGTCAGAAAGCCATTGAAAAAGTAAAAAACACCACATTCCCCTGGAGTTCTGCTTTGACCTTTTTACTTCAACAACTTCTGTTTGTAGCTTTTCTGTCTGTCTCTGCAAGGAATCGATTTGTGAGTCAGAAAGTTCTGAGACAGCTCTTACACTCTCCGCAGGTGTCTCATTCCAGAAAGACATGTTGAGACACAAGTTTTTTATCACTAATAGTTTGTCAAGGGTTGAACTCTGTCAGATAACTTAACTTATGATACTTTATGAACACAAAATCCCAGTATGAGATCAATTATTTTAGGGATAAAAAAACAATAATATTTTCACTAAAACAACAACGAGTTGGCCCTTTGCAATAAAAATAAATGCTTGACAGGAATTGGGTTTCAGTCCATAGAAGAGAGATCGTCTGAGACCTGGTGTCAAAGACGTTCCTCCAGAATTCTGTGATGACAACATGACAAACTTAAATGTTGGAAACAGGTTATTTCACAGATTTCTCCCTGAACTTTTAAACCCTACTCTCGGACCTTGCCTATCTCTCATGTGTCTCATCATGTCTCTGCCTCTCTTTTGTCTTTTTTTTTTT